GGGGTCGGGTTGGGGCAGGTTGAGGTGGGGTTTAGGGGGCGGAGTATTGTATTCTTTCTTTAAGTTTTCCCAGTTTAATCGTGCAGGGGTCATGCGCCAGGTGTCCGAACCCACGCACACCCCTTGAGTGAAACCGAAAACGGCAGGAGACCCCCATTTTTGCATTTAACGGGAATTGGACGGGGGTTCGGGGGGATTTAACAGTCTTCAACGGCAGTTCAACTCCACCCCCCCCCCCCCCCCCCCCCCCCCCCCCCCCCCCCCCTTGGTTTAAAAGACACTCAGCTTGTCTGTGCACAGTCAGATGGCAAGGGGCACATGCGCTTTCATTTCGCTCTCTGGGCCATGATTCTGACCAAGTTCAGGTTTCTGATTTGCTTCTGCTTCCACCTCCCGTCCTTCTGCTGCCTTTTGTCTGATTTCACTCTCTGGCCATTTCACTCCCTTGGACACATCATTTTGCATAGGATGTTTACGCTTGGCCAACTTGCCGCGTTCGCTATATACAACTCCACAAAAACGAGTGATCGTGCCAGACTGATTTGTGTGTGGTAAAGTTATACAGCCCCAACAAAAAATGAATTAAAATGAATTTTCAAGGTTTTTAACTCTTTATGATTGGACCTTAAATCCTTTTCATATGATGGATGGGTGTTGCTCTGGAGTTGTATGAACTCCAATCAGGGATGTGATCGGAAAATCGTGCGTCCGGGGACAAAAAAAAAAGGAAAAAAAGAAAGACATCCATTGCGAAGTGATGACACCAAAACGACCGACTGCCAGACAAAAAAACACAGAAGAGCAATTTTGTCAAAACGGACATTTTTTATTTTGTTGAACGAAATTGGAAACTAGCAAATTGGCATTGGATTCAGGTTGAAATTTGCAGCTCCTGAGGGTGCGGTGTTCTGAACAGCCCCCTTACTGCCAATTTAATTTATTATGAGTGCTAATATAGATATAGTCAGTACTAATTGAATGAATTTGATTTGATTTGATTTGATTTATTTTATTTTCTTTTTAATCTTGTATCAAAGAATAAAAACTAAATTTTGTTTAGTGAATGAAATATTTGTCCCACTTCTGCAAAAAAATTATCATCCACCTTTAGTGCTTTTTGGTTCGTTACCTACTACAGTAAGTTCTCAACTTAATTTAGAATTAAAAAGAAATCAAATTGAAGTATCGGGATGGATGCCTACTCAAAGATACACAGATTTACCAAATCTTGAAGAACGGGTTTATGTATGTGGAGTCAATCCATTTTTAAGTCGAACCGCAAATTCGTGCAGATTGATGTTTTTTAATTAATTGAACATATTAATTGGATTATCAATTTATTCCCAAAATCTTGAAAGTTATTTTCTTTTATTTGATTTTCTTTTTTTATAGTTTTTTTATTATAGGATACAGGGTTGCCAGGCCGAACGTACGGAGGCCCCTAAGCTAACCCCCGAACGTTCGGGCGTTCGGGTCTCCGTACGGGGCCCGAACTTGAAGGGGTTCGGACCCCGCAAAAAACTATTTTGGCACCCAAATATTATTATGTTTTTCTGAATTTATTTTTGTGAGTTCTTTGTGATGTAAGGTATTTCCGGCTTAATTTTGAAGTCATTCTGTTCAGCCAAAAAAAAATGAAAAATCCTCAAAGGTGGTGGTGTCAAAACTTGCTTGCCCACTCACAAATTTGTTTTTTCTCTCTTGTCACTTTTTGTTTTTCCTTTATTTCGGGGCATAAAACAATTTATTATTTTTTCAAACTTTATTTGTAGATTCTCTATTATGTAACATGCACATATATATATTTTCATGGCATTTTTCACAGCCAAAAACAAAATGAAAAATCGCTAAATATGGCGGTGTCAAAAACGTGCTCGCCCACTCGATAATTTGATTCTTGTTTTAGTTTTTAAATTTTCATTATTATTATTTATTTGTAGTATTTGATTTTTATTTCAAATTTGGTAACGAATTTGGATGTAACGTTGAGGCAAATGTTTAGTTTATTCTTCTGCATAACATATATTGTTTTCAAATTTTTTGGATTTTTTTTTTTTTTTTTTTTTTTTTTTTTGATTCGCGTTCGGACGAACGCGTTGAGAGGGGGTGTTGAACGTTCGGGCGTTCGGGTTCGGGCGTTCGGCCTGTCTCGAACGCTGGCAACCCGGATAGGATACATATTGTTTATATAATATTGTTTACAGATTTTTATATGATAAAATTATTAAAATATGTATTTAGATTTTAAACTAAATAAATACAATTTAGCACATGAAGCAGAAATATCATGGACAAGAATTCAATTTCAAAAAAAAATCTCTTATTATCTTCAAATTAATCTGAGAGGAAAAATATTACCATATTCATATTCCTTATCAGAATTGAAAAAAATTCAATCCAGACACGTCCATGGGGTAGGGTTTTTTTTTTTTTAGAATGTCGTACTCCCTGGAGTCCAGCTAAGTCCAGATACATCCGAGGGGTATCGGCGCTTTCAGGACACTTAACCTTCAAGTTAAATCACGCCAATTTATATATATGTTTGTTTCGGCGTTTTTCACTTTCCATTGTTTCAATGTTTTCAACTTTTTAGTCTTTTGGTGAAGTTGTTATTACAGGGCATCAGCGGGAGCAATGAAGCAAACAAAAAACAGTTACTCTTTTTTTTTTTTTTTTTTTTTTTTTTTTTTTAAGGACTTGACCACACTAGGAGAGGTGGTAAGGGATGCGAGGCCTGATTCTGGGAACTGAATGGGACCCGGTACCAACATATTTTAGAGAACAGTTCCCCATTGTCATCAAGTCAGATGATACCCCTTGAAACCTCAAACTCACTTTACGAAAGCACAAATGCGGGTGGGGGGCTATTTCACCCTGTCCGATCGAGATCTTTTTCTTTTTCGTGTCTTGTGTCCTCGAAACCTCAATGGAAGCACGAATGTAGGTAGATTGTTGATGCTAGAATTCCAACGAAACTAAAGTATTAATAGATTCACAAACGAGCACTACCTTCTTCCCCCGAATACAACGTACGGTAATTATAGTTGTATTTGGGGTATCTTTCACTTTAAATATAGCTATATTGATCGTAAGTTGTAATTGGGTGAAGAAGGTAAGCACCGAAGTCTGAACACCTAGATATTACCATTCCAATACCAAGCTTATGACGAAAATGAGATATTGCACAAGCAACCAAGATTTTGTGAATCTGGCAATGGTTTTTTTGTGATTTTGGAGAGGATGTCGTGCGCTCTATATTGTCCCATAGGAACTACTAAATGCCTTTTGAGTGTCCCAGACCTCTGCGTAGTCCCGCAATAGGCCTGTGTTTGCTGTGACATTCCGTCCAGCCACTTGTTGTTAATCTTAATGCATATACAAGAATACCCCACTAGCAGTAAAGCTTAGCATCACTATGGCGTAACCCCTAGTGTTGGTTGCTGATCGGCGTAACCCCACAATGGGCCCACATCTTACCAAAGGGGTAAAGGCTTAGGAGGTGTGACCGCCTCATAGAGTTTTTACTTCCCATGGATGCAGGAGGGATAATAATCGAGTGAATTGAGTTTTTGGGTAGGCTGATTAAAATGTTTATCAGGAGACGGTCTATCGTTGCGTAACCAGCAAGGGCACTACCGCTAAAATAACAACGCGGTGAGCCGTAGATCTAACTCGATCAACCATACTATGGTGGGCCAAGATGGAGACCGGACCGTCTTGTACTAGACTGCAGGAACAATTTGAGATAAGAGCTTTATATATATATTTGATTGTGGAAATTTTGGGAAGGAGGTAAAAGTGTCTCAAGGGTTTCGGTTAGGACAAAGGGGAGAGGACTGTTGAAAGCGTTGTGAAACTTATGCTATAGTACATATGCCTAGTACACCGACATTCTAGTGTCAGGACAATGGAGACCCAAGTTATAATCCTAGCAGCATATAGTTGTGTCTGGCATGGATTGATGGAGTCTAGTCAGATTGGTTCCTTTCTCGTCAACATTTTGAAGTTGTGAATGAATTTATAACTTGTGTTTGGCATGGATTGATGGAGGCTAGTCGGATTGGTTCCTTTCTCGTCAACATTTTGAAGTTGTGAATGAATTTATAACTTTTTTATTCTTCAGATCGACCAGC